CCACGAGGGGCCAGCAGGGTTGGACCCAAAGCGGGGGAGGGCAGGGGAGAGGGGTCAGACCCAGAGGAGCAAGGGACATGGGGCCGAACGTGGGACTCTCTCTCTGCCGGCCCCCCTTCCCCATCATTCTTGACCGGCAATTTGCTAGTACTAATATAATTATGATAAAAATCTTTTTTTTTTTTTTTTAATTATTTCTTAATTCCTTGTCTATTTTTCCCTTTCAGTGCTTTTGAACTCTTGCCAATTATATTTTATTCTTAACCCTCGTCCCTTCTATTTAAAGTAGAGAAAATAACTGGTTCTCTATCATGTTTACAAAATGTATTAAATATACCAAACTCCCAACACCTAACACTAATGAAAAAGCAGAACAGAACCTCCCTCTTAGTAAGACCAGATTTCTCTTCTGAAAAGACCAATTTCAAGCTGGCTGTCAAGTTTGATATTTCTAGATGTTTTGTAATATGTAGAAATGTGTGGTATATAGACTTTTATACCGAGTCTGATAGATTTAGTGAATCCCCACTTTCATTTCTGCATAACAGTTTTTCAGACTTGTTTGTTTAAAAAACAGAAAGGGTGGAATCTCACTTCATAGTCCTTAGGATTCTGATCTGCAAACATATCCAACACAGGCTGTAGATCAACTACTTCATGAGGAAACAGACGGAGAAAAGTTTTATATCCTCGAACCTGCCAAGAGAAAGGTTATCACAATTTAATAAACCATCTTGAGATAGTATTAAGAATACAAAAGAACTATTGGAAGCATTTTCAGATGATGTTAATATATCAGGTAGAGCAGGAGTACAAATTAATTTCCAAATTACCTGATATTTCAAAACATGTCAGCTTCACTCAAACTCTACTAATTAAGTAATAACTCGGATAACTTGGCTTTTGATTCATCATCAAGTAATTAATAATCAGTGCTTGCTGAATTCTTCAGCTTTAAAAATACTGCATTGTTCCACTAAATTGACATCTTCCCCCTCCCCAAAAACATGAAAAAAAACCCATTTGATTTACATGAAGGATTGCCCTAAAAATCAAGCCCCTGACAATGTTGCTCTTAGTATTTAGAGAATTTGGTGCTATACAATATCCATAGAATTCCCTGAAAGCCCCAAATTTTTCCCTGCTATTCTGCTTCTTGTCCCAAGGAACAAACCTTGCTCTGCTCTGGGATAACTTCTTATCCCCACAAGCCTCATCTCCACTGCTCTTACACCAGACCTCACAAATAAAGCAGGAGAATCTCTGCCAGCCCTAAGTGTCTTCCCTTTTGGATTGTGGAAGAAATTTTAGGTCCCCCTTGCCATGGAATGGGTATCACTTGCCCAAAGATCATTCTCTGCCATAGGAAATCACTAAGGGGAGAAAACACCAAAAGGATTTATTATATAGGAGAAAAGAATTAGAAGAGGAAAACTGAGCATAGGCCTGGAGAGAAAAACGAGATAAATACAGTAGATACATTGGTCCATATCATATCAGCACCAAAAGGAAAATTGACATTACCGGCAATCAGCTTTTTTTTGGCTGATGTGGCCAATGTCACTGATAAATGTTGCAAGCATGTACTTGGCCAGCCCAGCAGCTTGGAGAGCAACGTCCAGCTGGTAAGTCTATTTGGAAGGGAAGGGGCGGAGGGGAGGGAAGGGATATGGGGGGCAGACAAAGACCCTCGCAGCGAGGGAGTGGGGCTGGAGCAGCAGCAGGCACTGAACAGAGCTGCGAGCAGTTTGTCCACGGGGGCACAGGGAGTGGAAGGTGACTTCCGCCACTACACACCCCCAGAGGAGGTTTGGGGGGCATGTACCCCCCAGAACTATGTGTGGGGCAAGGGCAAGCTGCCTGCTCCAAGCCGGGGGTGGTGCCGGGCTCTTCCCAGAAGTGGGGCTGAGACAGAGCTATGCTTGGGGTGGGTGGTGGTGGTGGCGCTGAGAGGAGGGGCTACAGGGTGGGCTGTGGCCATAACAAAATTCACGATATTCCCTTCTCAGCAGTGTCGCCACCTGCCCCATGCACAGCCCCAGCCCAGCCCTGGCCCACTATGGGAAAAAGGCCAGTGCCGCCCCCTGTGGCAGCCCACCCTGGCCTCACACACAGATCCAGGAGGCACATAACCCTCATTGCTCCCCCAGAGATGCACACAGCAGCAGGAGCTCAACCCTCCCTCCCCAGGCCACCTCAACAAACTGCTCATGGCTTCTTCCCATGCCTCACCCTGGCCCGGTTGAGCAGCACCCCTTTCCCCCACCCCAACAGACTTACCAGCCGGACACTGCTCTCTAACCAATCAGAGCAGTATCAGCCAATATAGCTCATTAATAACCGACCATCAGTATCAGCCCAAAAATTCTTTATCAATGCACCCCTAAAATACAGTTTCTTACCCTCTCACCCAGCTATACCTTAGCCCTCCTGAGAGACCTGCCAGTATTTTCAGAGAACAGTCTTCCTGCTGTTTCTACCACCCCTAATGTTGGGGACTTTGAATCCAAAAGCCAGGCTTATCACACAGCCTTCTAAATAACCATAATGCCAACCTGCTTCCCATCCCCACCAGCACTGTCACACTTCTCATGAGTTACACTGTCCTCCAGAACTTTCTCTCCCTGAGACACCTGGCATTCCTTTGGCTGGTGGGCCATTTCTCTCAGATGCCTTTGCTATTGTGCATGTAATGAGGCAAGGCCCCACTAGTCCCAATCAAGATATCAGGGCAGGTCATCCTCCCAATCAAGATACCGGGGCAGCACCTTGGTTCCGGGTGGACTAAATGAGGCAATCAAGTCAGAGAATCCCCTGAAGCCACAGGCAATAGGAAGTCCTTGCTCCTGACCTTCTATGTGCTTCCTTGCTGGTTTTCTGGTTTTGACTCCTGCCTCTGACTCTGGCTTCTGATCCCAGTTCTTTGCTGTTGATTCTGGCTTAATCTTCAGCTCTGGTTTTTGGCTTCTGACCCCGGTTAACCCTGGGATTACCCTGTCTCCAGCTTTGGCTTCTAACCCTG